CGTTGTCCAGTGCCCGCCCCCTGAGCTCGTCTATTTTATTACGTAAGCTGCGTGCATTTGCGTAGAAACACTTGACTCTTCCCTGCCTTTCCTGCACACCAGTACGCGGCGGTTTAAAGCTGCTCGTAGTGGCTGTCCCTTGCTTGTGATCCCTTGCCCCCCCATATACAACCCTAAAAAGGCTCATTTTCCTTCATGATAGGCAATCCGACTGCTACAGCTCCCTTTTTCGAAAAATGTACTCCATCCCTAGCCATCGGACTTCTACAGCGACTCAAAGCCTTCCTAGTGTCCAGAAACACTGCCACCTCCGCGATACATAACTCCTACAACCTGTCGTTAACCCCTTCCGACCTGGACCACATGATTCCTGTTTACAAAGTTCTGGGAATTTTGTTCTCTCACTGCAACGCCCGATCAAAGCCTACCGCAAAGTTGGTCACACATGCTTAGGCTTGTCATAAATACGACTTCAAAATATTATTCACTGGGCATGCGTCAGTAAGAAGTTGTCAGTGTTCGTGTAGGGTACACTTTGTCAGTCATGGAAGACGCGGTAAATTCTCGAAATTATCATTTTCTTTTTATGGAAAGAAGGTGTTAGGACGTCTGAAATTATTCAGCATTTGAAAGCTGTTTTTGGTGAATCTTCTGAATCTAAAAGTACCGTCTATCGCTGGATCGATCGCTTTAAGAATGGAAGAACGAGCCTTGAAGATGACCCCCGCAGTGGTCGACCAAACACTGCCGTTGACGAAGAAAATGTCGCCGCCGTGGAGAAAATGTTAATGAAAGACAGACGAATCACCATTCGCGAGATTGCAGCAAGTGTATGCATCAGTTCCAGAAAAGTTCATGAAATTTTACACGACCGTCTAGGAGTGAGAAAGGTTTCTGTACGATGGGTACCGCGGCTGTTGGGGCCAGAACAGAAACTCAATCGTGTGGAGGTTTGTTCCGAGTTGTTAGCTCTACAGGAACAATATGGGGATAGTTCTGGCAGCGAATCATCACGACAGGTGAGACCTGGATACCTTACATTAATCCACAAACAAAAATTCAGTCCGTGGAAAGGCGGCGACCTTCTGATGGCCTTCCGCTTAAGCAAGGACTATGCTATCAGTTGGTAAGGTCATGATAACGGTGTTTTGGGATTGCCAGGGAATAATCATGATTGATTATTAATAAAAAGGTTCCACAATAAATGCAGAATATTACTCTGATTTGCTCAAGGGACCACTGCGTGAGGTACTTGAGAAAAATCGGCCAGAAAAGCTCCATTCCCGACCATTACTGCAGCAAGACAATGCGAGGCCGCACACTGCTCGTCTTACAAATGCCGTTTTGTCTGATCTGCGCTGGGAATTGCTGCCACGCCCGCCCTATTCTCCAGACCTGGCTCCCAGCGACTATCATCTGTTTGGGGAAATGAAAAAACAACTTCGAGGAATCCATTTTGAGTCACTATCTGGAGTTAAAGCAGCGATAAATGAGTGGATAGAACGTACTCCACAAAAGTTATTTGAAGATGGACTAAAAAAATTAGTTACTCGCTGGCACAAATATGCTGCTAAATGGTGATTATGTTGAAAAATTGCATTGTAATATCGAAGAAAATTAGTCTTATAAAAAATTAGCACGCAAATTCCAAGAACTTTGTAAACACCCCTCGTATGCAGGTAACTCATACTATGGAAAATGACTAATCATACAGATTAATTCCTTTGTAATCCCCTAGGCTTTACCTGTGTCTTGGTTTAAAAGTGAGTGAAAACTATGATTTGAAGGTGACGTTAGACCTGACCCTCTGCCACTCCTGTACTCCTTGCTCAATAGCTGAAGGGTGATAAGTGCATCGGCGGTAAGAGGAGCAAAGAGCGCCTTACTGTGTTGCTGTGCACCAACATGTCAGGAAAAGAAAAACTGCAACCAACTATCATCGGCAAGTTCGAGAAGCCTCGTAGCTTCCGAGGTGTGCGACATCTGCCCGCAAATTACCGCCAGAGTAAGAAAGCATGGATGACAACCCCCCTTTTCCTGGAATTCCTCCGATGCCTTGATGCAAAAATGGGATGGAAGGGAAGGAAAATTCTCCTCTTCGACCATTGACGTGCCCATCCACCGGGCATCATAAAGCTAAGAAACGTGGAAGTGGTGTACTTCCCTGCCAATTCAACAAGCCAACTACAACCCCTAGAGTCAAACTCAAAACTGGGTGTCAAACTGCTCCCGCGAAGTCCTCTTCAACTGTCGGCTACGGAAAAGTACTGCAAATTTCTGCATAAAAGATTAGGTGTTAGGCTTTTATTGCGACCCCTAATCACCCCTGAAGACTTCCATCCGGCCCCCAGCCTTATCGAGTTTGACACCCCTGCCCTAGACCAAGGGGCGATTGCGGCATTGAAGCAGAAGTATCGGAAACGGCTCATTCCTTCTCTCCTGTGGCAATTACGTACGAAGGGAATGGACCATGTCAAAGAGCTTGGATTGCCGAAACGGAACGTGCTTGATGCCATGCACCATCTCGTCGCAGCATGGGATTACGTCAGTAGGAAGCTTTTTTCCTTCAAATTCTAGTGTGCAGCTTCTCACGTTTACCTTTCTACAGGTAACTCTTGATGCCATAGCGCAGTGGTTCTCAACCGGTGGTCCGCGGACCACTGGTGGGCCGCGGAGGTGCCCCAGGTGGGCCGTGACGAGTATCACTAAATTAAAAAATAAAAATTTACTTAGTATAGTACCAGATGTACATTATCATTACTGATAGCCTGAAAAGACTG